AGGGTCGTCATCCTAACTTTAGTATTAAAAGAAACTGAGGGGAAAACGCAACTTGGAAGAACTGATGGCAGACGGGAGCCGATCATATCACGAGATGCCAGACGCCAGAGGGCAGCAGCAGTAAGCAAACCCCACAGTCGGACTGCGACAGGTTCTCGGTTGCAATGTCGTATTTACACGTTCCTAAAGACTGCAGCAGCGGATGACGATGAAGCGGTGGTCTCTGCTTGCAAGACCACAGGGCGTCACAACCCTGAACACCGACGTCGACATGCTCACGGCCGTCAGAACCCGACATCTCTCGTCTTCCCAGTCAGTTTAAACGTACGGCGTAATACTTCCCTAAAATAGACGACAACCGCTTCCTTCCGAACACCTCACCCATTCATCGATCGCGATCATCTTCCCGGTCACAGACGGACCAAGCTCCGAATAAATCGGTCAGAAGGAATCCGTGCACTGAAATCCCAAGTCTCGCTCACTGCACGCACAAGAAGTGAAACGAACATGACTTCAAAGACGGTTGTGCTAAAATCTACGTTCGACGCCATCTAGACTCTGGTCTGAAGATGGAGACAGTACGTTTTTCTGAATCTGCACCGAGCGGAACAACGTCGTCGTTCTCAACAGCATAAAAAACCCCGAAATCGGATAAGACGTGTCGATAAGAATAAATCAACAGGTTTTTTCGTAGAATGATAATAATCACTAAAATGCGTAAATGCAGACATCCATCATAAATGACAAAGCATACGAAGACGTTGAAGCGTCAATGCCACTGAAATCCGAGGCTGATATAATTGTTCGCGGTCCGAATGACGCACTCCCTGAAATCCCATCAAACACGTGCTCTCAGACTGTGGTTGGCGAATCCTTAGGGTCATAATCCGCAATGTGAACTTTTGAGCGTTTCAATATCACTGAAAGGCAAATTTTCAACTGCATGTTCGAGATTAATTACTCGTTCTGCCCTGCTTTGTTTCATAAAGAAAAGAGCTGACTGGCTTAGGTGCGTATTCATGGGGTTAACGTACGTCCGATGACAACTTCGTACAGTCCTACAAAAAATCCAGTAACTCGGCTATGTGAACCGTATGACGGATAAGTGAACATGACCGGAGAAAAAATCAGTTTTTGTCACACAGAATTCTTCCTGGAACTCGTCCTTCATTTGAAACCGAGAAACAATTCATTCCCCCCCTACGTGAATAACTACATTTAGATCCAAGACTGGGAAACAGCCCATAAAGCAGACTGCGCGGCGATACGAGACATCATATCGAAATGATATCGATAGATCGAGCTGCTAAGCAACCTCGCATCTAGTAAGCAGAGTTACGTAATGTATATTTTACACTACGTTTTGGAACAGAACACACAATCAGTGTTGCAACACCCAATTCCTGACCCCCAATGCACCCCGGTCGATATTACCGACTGTGGTAATGGCGTAGGGCACTGCAAATGTCTTGCTATTGGTCGTAGGCTTTTAAATACCAGAGCCTCCGTTCGCTGAAATTTCAAGAACCTTGCAGGATTCCGAACAATTATGGTCCATGGTCATTGGCCCCCATGTTCAAAATATATGGTCCCAAGGTCACAGTCATCGACCAAATGACCGGAGTGACTGGTCTACGTCCAATTATTTGTAACAGAGCGAAAGTGGAAAAATTTAAGCTACGCGGAGATTTCATAATTTGTTTATAACCTGAAGTACAGTACTTTTACTATTTTACAGTTTTTTTATGAGCTGGTATCTGGGGAAATACGTTATCAGCAACACTGATTACGACATTTGAGAATAATTCTGCAGAACTGTTAGAAAACATCTCAACAAGATTTCCGTTTGGATTTATATCAGGAGAGTGCCAAAAAAAGCAGCTCTCTTGACGTCTTGTTCGATAACTTTTTATGTGAGGCAAAGTGTCCCAGATCGCTTGTCACAAAAGGGCTACGAATCATGACCAAGACAAGCGAATATTTCACTGGCGCACCAAATGAATGGAACAGCGAAATAAGGAACAGTCCGGTAGAAAACGTCACGATCCTGAGCCAGCTCCATCCACACACTTCGTTCATGCGAGCCCAATTCCCTTCCGTTTATCCATTTGATGTTGTATTCCCATCTTCCTCTGGGCCTTTCAAATTCTCCATTCCTCGCACGCTTTTCTCGTCCTAGCCAGTTGCCCACTTTTAGCAGACGTACGGCCTTGCTACAACTTAAATTGGACAATAAATATATCATTATATTTCGACCGTGCAATACCAGCATACGAGGTGCGATCGGAAAGTTTCAAGACTGTGTCAATAG